TCTGTATTTTGGTTTAGTTTTCACTCTTTCATAGAAATGGCTACAGACAGGTGGAGGTTTTTACAAATACAAAATCTCTTCACCCCACACTAGAAGGAGATGGCTTCCTATAAACTCCTAACCTTTGTTTGCTTCTCAGAACACTAGCAAGTACAACAAGTTAAAGTCCAGCACCCTGGGCATCTCCCTGCTGGTTTAAAGCACTTGGTTCTGCAACATAGGCTGTAAACACCATCTTTTGGAAGTTTTTTTTATGGCTTATTCTCAGACTGATAGCCCTGGTATTCTCCCCCAATTTCTGGTACACACACTCCTGCCTGATAATGCACTCCTGAGGCTTTTCTTTTATGAGTTAGAAAGTTTGTTTTTTCCCAGTCTCATAGAACATGGAGTCTCAGGCCAGCTGGCAGTGTGGTGCTTAAGGCAGCTGGATCCCACATGGCTGAGTGTATGGTTTGAGTCTTGAACCCAGGAGCTTGGAAAATATGTAAGGCACGTGTGTGTGTGTGTACCCAAAATCCCAAGAGGAGAAAAGTCTGCAGTGGCCATCCCCCTAGAGGAATGCTTTCTCACTCTCACTCCTGCAAGTGTACTGGTCCTATAGCAAAATGTGTGTGTGTTTTAAATAGATATTTTTATAGTCTCTTCTTAAACATTTCTTCTTCTCTCTTGCTTTAGAATGATTTCCACAAAGAAATGAGAATCTAACTTTAAACCATCCACAGAAATCTAAGCACTTCCACATAAAATCCTTTTCCTGAGATCTGGTTCTCACTCTCTCACTCCTGCAAGTGTACTGGCCCTATAGCAAAATGTGTGTGTGTTTAAATAGATATCTTTATATTCTTTTCTTATACATTTCTTCTTCTCTCTTGCTTTAGAATGATTTCCACAAAGAAATGAGAATCTAACTTTAAACCATCCACAGAAATCTAAGCACTTCCACATAAAATCCTTTTCCTGAGATCTGGTTCACTTGGCCTTAGAACCCAGAATCTCTTGGTTCTACTCCAAGACCACCCCTTTCTACGACCCTGTGCTGGGTCCTCCTCAGCTTCATAACTTTTGATGCTGTGGTACACAGTATTTGTTCCTGATTTTTTTTTTTTCATTTTCTTAACATTCTAAGTGAACTCTCTTTATAAATCTGACTTTAAATACCAACTTTGAGCTGATTTTCAAATTGGTATCTCCAATAGTGATGTTCACTTTCTAATTTTGATTTTTATATTCACGTATGTATTATATGTCAAATTGGAAGCGTTAACTTGAATTGAAGCTATGCTAAAGTAAACAATATTTAAAATGGTCTCATCTGACTATTCTTCCTAAATGATCACATCTCATTTCTCCCTCTTTCTCTCTCAACAATTAAGTGTCCCTCATGGTTCTTATCTAACTACTTAACATATATTATTTTCTTGCATCTTTTTTCATCAAAATGTAAATTAGATGAAAGAGGGACATTATTGTGATCACTGATATTTTTTGGCATGAGTTTTTATTTTATATTTATTCACTAAACATCATAACAGCATACAAAAATGTGATTTCCCATCTAGAATACACCGTATAGTGGCTTAATCATACAATGTTGACATCAACAAACAATTTTCCATTCCTTGTTTCTAATAAATATATATATTTTTGATTCCCTATTTCTCACCTTCTGCCATTTCCTATCCTCCTCCCACTGATGTTTTAAGTAGAACTGTAAAATTTACCAGTGCTTAAAACCTACTTAAAATGTACTAAAAATAAATATATGGATGAATGAATGTCTAAAAAAAAAAACAGTCCATAAGAATAAAGGGAAAAAGAGCAACTGAATATATTAAGACAGTAAAGAACAAATAAAAAATGTTTAAGAAGAAGGAGGTCAGAGTTAAGATTTTGAGTAAAAATAAGAAGGTAATTAGTGAAATAAAAGATGGGACTATATGTGTGAGAGCCTTCCTTGGAGACTAATGCATGTAAACACATGTTTGATGCACTCAGTCTAACTGTTTGAGGTCTGAGATCTGAGAGAAAATGGGAGAACAAATCTCAACATAACCATCATCTGCTGGGCTCTGCTCTTCCTGGCCTCCCTGCCCACTATGTGCTGACTGACCTGGGAGGCTCTGGTTAGGGGGTTCTTCTACTGTCCATGGCTCTGCTGCTTCCTCCAACTTGAAGATCACCTCAGGTTTGGTAATACAATGTCCTGTTAATGGGAAATAACGCAGGACTGTGCTAAGCTGCTATGTCAGTACTTTAAAGAATGACGACAAGTAGTCTTCAGAAGCTGTGTAACAGAGGGGAAATTTGAACCTTGTATGAGCAAGGAGTGAGATACATACTTTGTGGACTGGAAGCTTACAGCTAAATATCATTAAACCTTATAAACGTTTCTTCTATTTACCAATAAAAAAGAAACTGTTGCTCTTGTGAGTTACAGACCAATAAAAAAGAAAGTGTTGCTCCTGTGAGTTACAGAGGAGTTTCACTTACCCAATGATACCAGGCTGCTATAGGTCTCCAGCATCACATCCCTGTACAGGGTCCTCTGAGCATCATCCAGGTCCTGCCACTCCTCCCAGGTGAAATGCACAGCTACATCCTCAAATGACACCAACCCCTGTAAGGACACATTTCTACTCAACTCAGATCATCAGTCCTAGATTGAAAGAACAGAAATCTCGGGGCCAGCGGGTGGTGTGATGGTTGGGGCATTAGACTCCCACATGGCTGCCTGTGGTTTGAGCCTGGACCTGGTGGCTTACTTTCTCTCTCTCTCTCTCTCTCTCCTCTCTCCCTGTGTCTCTCTCTCTGGTAAGCTAATGGCAAAACTTAAAAAAAAAAAAAAAGATAAAGTTAAAAACAAATAAATTTTTTTGAGAGGTTTTTGCTATAGGGCGCATGCACTCGCCAGACAGAGATGAAAGCAAGAAATCACCCCCCAGGGGGGATGGCCACGCCGCAATCCCTTCTCCTCCATTCTCTTCTCGGGATCTTGGGCACGCATGCACACACACCTGGCATGAGTTTTAAGCCACTGGGTCTGGGATGCGAACTGTGGTCGACTACGTGGGAGTCCAGCAACATAGCCATTACACTAACTGCTGGTCCCTAAAACAAATAATTTTTTTAAAAAAAGAACAGAAATCTAGTAGTACAGTCTACCATATGCGATGCAGATTGCTCTGTACTGTTGGTAGGAGACCAAAAAATCACAATGAAGGGAACCAGCAGTTAGTGTAATGACTATGTCGCTGGACTCACACGTAGTCGACCGAGGTTCGCGTCTGGACCCGGTGACTTAGAACTCACGATATTATTACAAAGTTCACATTATAGATAAAGACTATCTGTGTTTCAAGAAATAAAAGTATGAATAGCAATCGGTTCTTCCAAGAAGCCTCTGATCTTATAAAAGATATAAGCATAAATATATATAGAAAATGTTATATAGGTTAATTTAGACACAAGTTAAATGTAGACTGAGACAACAAATGAGTAGAAAATGTAGTTCTATTTGGAATTATGAATTTGCACTTCACGAACAATCTAAAGATGTTCAGCTCTTCCACGTGAATCTGTTTTCACATATACGAGGCAACAGTACAAGTCGAGTTGCAAGAGCGCAGAGAACATATTATATTCGTGTTAAATTTTTTTAAAGAGGTTTTTGCTGGAGGGCATGTGTACTCACCAAAGAGACAAAAGAGGTAGAGAGAGAGAAAGCAAGATATCACCCCCAAAAGGGACGGCCACGCCGCAATCCCTTCTCCTCCATTCTCTCTGATCTTGGGCACACACACACACACACACACGCATGAGCATGCTCAGTGTGAGTTTTAAGCCACTGGGTCCAGGACTCAAACCATAGTCAACTATGGGAGTCCAGAGACATAACCATTATGCCATCTGCTGGTCCCCAAGTTAATGTTAACATAACCATGTACACCACCATGTAAGGTGAATTATTCTACATCATAAGTAAATACATTACCAAAGGAAAATGATTATATAGTTATTCTGCTTTAAAAAAATGTTTAACTGCCAGAGAGTGTGTGCACTCATGCACATGTGCATTACAGACAGAAAGCACCCTCCATGAGGTATGGTCACATCACAATCTTTTTTTCCATTCCTCCTGCCTGTCGGATGAGGTACATGCTCATGCATATACCTGGCATGTTTTTCAAGGCCCTGGGGGTAGGGTTTAAACTGCAGTCAGTCATGTGGAATTCAGTTCCCTGTGAACAGTGCTCAACCACTGTGCTATGGGGTCAGCCCCATTTAAATATCTAGAGGGACCAGCAGATGGTGTAATGGCTACATCGCTGGACTCCCATGTAGTCAAAGGCGGTTTGAGTACTGGACCCGGTGGCTTAAACTCATGCTAGGTGCGTGTGCGCCAAAGATCCTGAGAGGAAAATAGAGGAGAAGGGATTGCAGGATAGCCATCCCCCCCTGGGGGGAGGTGATTTCTCACTTTCTGTCTCTCTGTCCCTCTCTGTCTTTCTGGCGAGTGCACATGCCCTATAGCAAAAACCTCTCCAAAAAAAAACGAAAGGAAAAAAATCTAATTCCAACACTGAAAATGTTATGCACCAATACAATTTTATTTATTAATTAAAAGGATGTATGTAAGTGTCCCCAGACTTCCTACGTGATAAAGAATTGCTTGTGTCCATTCCAGGGTGAAAAACGTCACTTTTCGATCTACCAGGCGACTAATGTAACAAGTAACTTACATGACCAGATCTGTATTTTAAGATCATCCCCCAGGAGAATGGGGAGGGGCTTAAGGAAGAGGTAGAGAGGAAAAAAACAGGGTGACACAGGAGCACCTACATAATGATACAGAGCAGTAGGATAAAGAATAAGGAAGTAATCCCCAAAAAAGAGGAAAAAGAAGAAAGGAGGAACCACTTTGGGACATATTTGCTGAGAACAGGCTGAAAAGAGAAGCTTACTTGAAGGATATCTGCATGACTGCAGCTAATCAGGTACTGGCGCCCTAAAGTGGAACCACAAAGATGGAAGAATATCATGGACAGAACTGAAAGATTTGGACAAATCGTATCTGAAATATTTAAGATTATGATAATAATAAATTTTAAAAAAGAAAAGAGAATTTTAGTGGTGTTTGAAGTCATCAGAGTGAATCAAATGAATTGAAGAGAACCTAGAGACTCAAGGAGAAAAAGAACAAGCAAGAATCCTGAGAAAACACTATTTACTGCTAGAGAAAGAGTAGTCAACTTACATCTTGAAGACTGAGAAGAAATGTTTTGTATTTATTCCACAAATAAAGAAAAACTCAATTATTAAGATGCCTATGATATAATTCATCATAATTCATAATTCTATGGGGGAAAATATATGATTACTCACAAAGACATTGAGAAGTCACTTTTTAAAAAGTGACAGGGCTTTTGGTTCCACATATAGGAGCTTGGAAGCAGCTTAGGAAAACACATCAGGCACATAAGCATGCACACAGGATCCATATGGGATAGAGAATTATAGGAAAGGGAATTCTGAGATGGCTACTGAACTTCAGCTGTGAAACATTGCTTTCAGGGACTAAAAATGACTTCCTGATGAGACTTCTCCCTCCAGATCCATTTCTAGATTGGAGAGGCACAAACCAAGGCCCATTCTGAGAAGGCTACTGAATATCAGCTGTGAAATATTGCTTTCAGGGACTAAAAATGAAGACTTTCTTCTGAGACTTCTCCCCCCCCATATCCATTTCTAGATTGGTAGGGCAAACTTTGTCTCCTTCCCTTTATCTCTCTATCTCTCTGTGTCTCTTCATTTTTTTTAAAAAAAAATTTTAAGGTAAAGTATTCTCTGGGCTCTGAAGCCCCCCTTTAACTTCCTCATTCATGCCTTTTCCCTTACTCCCTTCTAGGAGAGGCACAAACCAAAGCCCATTCGGAGATGGCTAATGAACTTCAGCTGTGAAATATTCCTTTCAGCTGTGAAATATTGCTTTCACGTGGCAATTTTTTGCCTCTTAAAATATAAAATTATGTTATTGTCTTTTTTTCTTTTTTATAGGTTTTTTTTCCCTTTCCTCTTCTTCTCTTTTCCTTTTTCTTTTAATTTCATCCCTTGGTGGCTCAGCCTCTATGAACTGAGTGTCTAGGCAGGTCTAAGTGAACAGTATCCAAATATCTGATTACTATTAGGGTCAGAATATTCCCCAATTCCCACTGAATTTGACAGAAAAAGAGTGAAAAAGAGAGACTGCAGATCACCTCCTCCAAGATTGAACTTCAAAGAATTAGGAAGAAATGCACAACACATCCAATGACCAGAAATCACCACAGGGGCACTAGAAATATAAGAAAGCAAGAAAATACCTCTCCTCCAAGGGAAAAGAATAACTCCTCTTCAACCACAGACAGTACAATGGGACTCATGGAAATGTCAGATAAAGAATTTAGAATATTCATAGTGACAAAGCTAACAGAGATGCAAGAGAAGAGAGACAATGAACTCCAGAAGACACAGGAGAAAAGAGCTGATGATTTCTAGGAGGTGAGGAAGTTCTTGCATAATCTGAAAAAGGAAATACATATCATACAAAAGAATGAAACAGAGCTGTTAGAGATGAAGGGTGCAATACAGAAAATCAAAACCTCCCTTGAAAGTATTAAAAGTAGACTAAATCATACAGAGGACTGACTCTCAGGTGTAGAAGACAGAATCACTGACCTAGAAAAATCCACCACAAAGACTGAGAAAGTAACCACCCAAATGAGAATTATATACAAGAAATACTAGATATTACTTAACACTCAAACATCCAGATAATTGGTATTCCAGAAGGTGAAGGGACTATTAAGGGCATTGACAATCTGTTCCATGAAATATTTGAAAACTTTCCAAACCTACAGAGGCATTCAAAGATCCAGTCCCAAGAAATACAAAGGACCCCAAATAGTATCAACCCAAGAAGATCTTCTCCAAGGCACATCATAGCCGGATTGACCAAAACCACAGACAAAGAAAAGATGCTAAGATTGGCAAGAGAGAAGTGTCAAGTTACCAACAAAGGATATCCCAGGAACAGCCACTGTCTTAATGGCTATGTCACTAGACTCCCATGTAGTCGACTGTGGTTTGAGTCCCTGACTGGTGGCTTAAACTCACGCCAGGCGCGTGTGCGTGCATGCCCAAGATCCCAAGAGGAGAATGGAGGAGAAGGGATTGCAGTGTGGCCATCCCCCCCGGGGGGTGATTTCTCACTTTCTGTCTCTCTTTCTCTCTCTGTCTTTATGGCGAGCACACGCGCCCTACAGAAAATCTCTACTAAAAAAAAAAAAAAGATAATCCGATCAGGCTAACAGCAGACCTCTCATTGGAAACAATGCAAGCAAGGAAAGAATGGGAAAATATATTCAAAGTGTTAAGGTAAAAGCAGTTTCAACCAAGAATACTGTACATGGCAAGATTATCCTTCATATGGGAAAAAAAGACAAGAACATTCTCAGATAAACAAAACCTGAAAGAATTTACCAATACCAGCCCAGCGCTCCAAGAACCCAGTGCTCCAAGAAGTTCTTGAGGGAGTACTATACAAGGAAAACTAAACACAGACACACAGAAATAAGAATT